AAGTTTGTGCACCCAGACCCCCAGTGGCTACAACTAGCCGCTTGGCATTTGAGCGGCAAGGTTTAGCCAAGCAGGCTTACTCGGCAGGGGTGATATCGATCATGCAAGCTTCACGACGAGCGTCCACGAACAGGATTTACGATGCTACATGGAAAGGCTTTTGTAGGTGGTGCGTTTCTGCGCGCCTAGATCCGGCCGCAGTATCCATCCCCAATATTCTAGATTACCTCCTGGAGGGTCTTAACAAGGGCCTATCAGTCAACACTATTCGCAGACAGATATCGGCCCTCTCAACTGTTCTCTCTTGCGACAACTTGACATCCCTAGCGCAACATCCAGCGATTAGCGCCTTTTTAAAGGGGGCGACCAACACAAGGCCCCCCCGTCATTCACAGGTACCCGTCGTGGAACTTGCCTAAAGTCCTTCTAGCCTTGACATCAGCACCATTCGAGCCCCTTGATTCGTGTTCTCTTCACCACCTATCGCTGAAGGTAGCCTTTCTCGTGGCAAGTACTTCAGCAAGGAGAATTTCAGAACTAGCGGCACTATCAGTAAGGAAGGATCTGTGCACCTTTTTCAAGGACAGGGTCGTTCTTAGGCCAGACCCGGCCTTCCTTCCGAAGGTAAACAGCATCTTTTACAGATCTCAGAAATTGATTCTTCCTGATTTCTGCCCAAAACCCAAACATAGGCTAGAGCATAGATGGCACAAGCTGGACGTGCGTAGGCGCTGTGTTTCTACGTGAAACGCACGTTGGCATTCCGCAAGACAGAAGCATTATTCGTTTCCTTTCAACCATCATCTATGGGAAAGAAGGTGTCTTCTTCCACCATAGGTAGGTGGATCAGAGCCTGCATAGCCCAGGCATATGTCTCACAGGAACTACCAGCACCCGCACATGTGACCGCCCACTCCACACGGAGTGCAGCCACATCGGCGGCGTGGCTAACGCAAGCGCCGGTAGAAGAAATTTGCAGGGCAGCAACTTGGTCTTCACCGTCTGTCTTCATCCGGCACTACCGTTTAGACTCCCTGGCCGCATCAGACGCTGCCTTTGGTAGAAGGGTGCTACAGCAAGTAGTATCTGCTCAGAATTTGGTAGCCTAGACTTTCCCTCCCAGGGGGACATGAGGGCTTTGGTATGTCCCATCCATTGGACTCTACAGCCATCCTGCTGGAGAAGGGGCGTTGACTTACCTGAACGCCTTTTCTCAGCAGGATGATGTAGAGTCCAAGCCCACCCAGGGGTTAGGTCTAGGCAGGTAGATAATAAAGAGCTGCAATATTAATTCCAACAAAGTTTCTCGCCTAAGTCAAAACTGGGGTCACGCCCAGAGGAAGGGGTGTGGCCAAAGTTTTTACCCAGTCTGCCAGGCAGGAAGGCTGTCATAGAACCCATCCATTGGACTCTACATCATCCTGCTGAGAAAAGGCGTTCAGGTAAGTCAACGCCCCTTTTGTAGCCCCCAATTGCAAACAATGGGTTTGTTTATAAAGCATGGATTCATTTAATGACCATGGTGAATTGCTTAATGACTGCCACAAAATAAAGGTAGTAAAATCAGTTTGGTCACATGAGTGATCCACTTTATGACAATCACGATTTAAGGCAAGCTCTATTACCTTCATCAGTCAGGGACTATATATATATGTTCTACTTTAATCATATTCAAGCTACTTCTGTGATGAGAACAGATTACTTTTATGTTCATTGGAATCTGTATGTGCTCTAATTCATATGACTAAGAAATCCTGATAGTAGTGTCATTTGTAGTAAGCTAAATGATGCCATAATTCCAGTATGAGCTTTATTATGTACCGATGGACAGACATCTCCTACATAAGTCACATCCTTTGCATGATGATGTGATCCCACACAAGTCATCATTTAACTCTATCTGAGTACCTCCATGCTTGACAGTTTTGTTGTAAGTAGGGCTGCATGATCCAAAAATAGATGAAAATGGTGTTTCAAAGTCATTGAAATTGTACTTCAAAGGCCTAGATCAAATAGGTGCCTGTAAAAGATCTGTGATCTTGAGTAAAAAAAATAGTCCTTGTGATCAACAGTCATTTTTTGCTTAAACCTTTCTGCACAAATTCATAAATTTATTTCTGATACTGGTGGCCATCACTAACCTCTGCCAGCAAATTTCATTGCCTTGTGTATTATTTGGTAGGGTGAAACAGTCATTTTATCTGGAAGTATCTGAAAACAGGCTAATTAGTAATATTTCAATAGAAATAAATAGAAACATATTTTCCTTCCAAGATTTTTCCATTAAGTATGCAAAATATTTTACTTGGCTATTTTAATTTTATAAGTTTTAATTTATTAAATTTAAGCCATCTTTTCTGATGGAAAAAAGCCCTCAAAAGATAAAAACCCTGCAAATATGAAGATTAGAGTTAATAAAAATACAGATGTAACAAGAAAACAAACTTGTCATGCCTAAAATATTTTAAGAAGCCAAAATGTTGCAGTCACAATCATTAACAATTCTATAAAAAGCACAACTCAGCAGAAGGCCATGGAAAATAAATGAGCCTTAAAGCTTTTCTTGAAGGCCTGTGGTTACAGACATTGTATTTTATTCTTACCAAAGAATTTCAGAAGAAATGAGATTGTTCATATTTTTGCAATTCAGCCTTTTTATACCTGTCTCATGTTAGTTGTGTTCATGGACACCAACCGATAAGCACTCACTTTACATATTCAGTAATGGAAGGAACATTGTAGACTCAGAAGATGTTGCTTTCTAATATAATAGCTAGTAGTATCAATAATGTTTTCTAAAACCTTTGAATAGGTTGCTAAAGCTCCTTTCTGGAAAAAGAAGTGCACAAACAGGATAATTAAATTTAAATTTAATTAAAAGCAAATATACCATAAATGCCGGCGTATAAGACGACTTCCGCGAGCGCTGAAATCGGCGCCAAAGACGGGGGTCGTCTTATACGCCGAAAATACTGGTAGTTTCCGGCGTATAAGACGACGTTCTAGGAATGTGGCCCGGCTATAAAGACGGGGGTCGTCTTATACGCCGGGTCGCCTAATACGGCGGCATATACGGTAGTTAAAATCGAGGGTGTTTGTGCTGATGGTGTTGCCTATTCAAGTAATGAAACTTGTACAAGGAAACACCCAAGCTTGGAGTGCAGTTAGGACTTCCACAGTTCAACCCCGACCTACAGATTTTTTTTTCATCTATCTTGGTAAAAAAAATTACTTGGGAGCCTTTAATCTTTGTGTAGCAGGCTGATCACAGTATTCAAGAAAGTTGGCAGAGTCTGGACAAATATTAAATCTGTCTTAAATTAATTCAAACTGAATTGTATGTTTTTATATATTTAATCATCTCATGCTTCTTAACATGAAAATGTACAATTTGGGCATAACTTTGGAAAGGGATCCAGGAACTACAGCAAAATGTTTTAGAAGACTGTGTTCCTCAGTATATTTAGACAATTCCTGCAAGTCAAACTCTTTAGTTTGTAAGGAGTATTAGTTTGTTCTGGATTTCATAGCCATTCATTTTAGTCTTTGGATCCAAACTGTCCTATCAAGTCACGGCTATGAAGATATTTTATTTTATTCAACATAAATGTTTTCCCCTAGTTCTCCTACATTAAAATACACTTTGTGTTGTTGTGGAATGGTAATCCAGACAAGTTTTTGATAGGACATACTGCTTAATCTCAACCGCTTAACAGGTGGGGTCATTTAAACAAGGGGTGGGTAATTCACAGGACATATATAGCTGCAAGCACCTCTCAAACTATCCTAAGACTGCTTCGTTAAAAGTGGCAAATGACCAATTTTAACAGCATAACTGGTCCAAATGAATGTGTTGGCCCTATTATTACCTTTATAAAGTGAAGCCCCTCAATTCTGTGCCTGATAAGCATCTTATCAATGACATCATCTCATAACTGAGCCACTGCTCAATTGTTCTTGCATTAAACAATTTACAACCCCTGATCTAAACAGTTCAAAGAATTGACACATAAATAATAACAGGTAAAGCAGCCCTCCAGGTAAAGCAGATAAGAAACACAAGTAGATGAGCCAATTCTGCTTTGATGTAGGAGAGTGATGGCGAAACTTTTAGAGACCGAGTGCCCAAACTGCAACCCAAAACCCACTTATGCATCTTCGGGTGCCGGGTGGGTGTGGTCCATAGGCTGGGCGTGGCCCAGTGGCTGCAGTGGTAATGGCAGACTGGGTGGGACTAAAAAGTTCAATCAATCAACTCCAATTTTGCAGGATTTTTTTTTTCCTGAGAGAAGTTGAAATTGACTGATTGATTGAACCTTTTTTTTTTTTTTTGCACACGGTGGTGGAGGCCTAAAGCAAAAAGGTTTTATAAAACCCAGCTGAAGGCCTAGAACTGGGGCGACGTCACAGGAGCCCACAGAGAGGACTTTGAGTGCCGCCTCTGGCATCCGTGCCATAGGTTCGCCACCACTGATGTAGGACTACATTAAAAGAATCTTGCAAGTCGGTCTCTTTTTACAGCCTGATTAAATAGGGTGGTCCTTCTTAAGTTTTTTTCTCTGACTATTAACCAACTGCAGACTTTCTTTTCTTGTCTGTTCGATCCCTAGGTAGTATCTTCTTCCCCTCATTCCTCAAGGTCATTTCTACATACTATCACACATAGTCATCTGAATGACTAGATTATTGCCAATCAAGTATAGCTCATGAACGAACTTTGATTTAGAGTTATATACCTCAGTCTTTGTCTTTGATTCTGTCTCTACCTACCTCTTAGATTTATAGAATGTGAAAATTACTAGAAAAATGGAAGTAATTTATAGATAGAGCAGCTGCCATGCAATTCTGGAGGAAAATAAGTTTGATTTAAGGGCTACAGCTATAGTGCTGCATACTCTGAAATGGTTTTTTTTTTTTTTTTGAATCTGGAGTATTCTGTAGATTTTTTAATCAAAGAAAAACCCTCTGAGTTCCTCTTCTTTTTTTTTTTTTCTAATCAGGAATCAAGACACAGTAATGTGGTTGAAGAAGATTCAGAAGGGGACAATGACTCAGAAGAGTTTTACTATGGAGGGCAGGTAAACAAGAGTTATCAGTCATCCAGATGGAATTTAAATACAATATTGAATCTACACATAATAAGATAGTCTTCATATCCTACTCTGCAGTTCTCTTTTTTCCCTCTTACTATTACACAATAGCAGGTAATCTTTCCAATGAAGGTGGACTCTAACTTCCATAATAGCTCACAATATTCTGCCACTTCAGAACTGTTAGATTTGTAACTCAAATGAATGTACATTGCTTATTCTTGCTTTAGGAAAATACATTTATATTAGAAAGTGTTTCTGAAAACAATTTAGTAGAATTTAGCAATTTAGTAGAATTTCCAGCTATTAGAGATTGTCTTCAAATACTAAAAGCGACAGTAGTTCTGTGGCCATAAGAAAAATTTCCAAAATCTGCTATATGGTAAAGATCAACTTATAGAGAATCCAAACTGGATTTCAATTATCATTTAAAATTAATTGCATCACTGCACTACTCAGATTGTCATTATTCATGACTAATGGGGCTTATGCAGTTTGTGAAAAAACTTGTAGTCTTGGTTTTGTTGTAAACTAGCTTCTTAGTTCCTATTTATACTTTTATTTGTATTACAGAATTGCACTTTTGTGTATGTTTGCTTATGGTGGTGAAAGAAAATCTATTTCCAGGCAAAGATTTTATACTACAACTTTAGCCAGCTACTGTCCAGACGCTTGCTGGTCCTCATGTTGCTTTCTAGAGTGTTGATAGTGTGAATTGGATTCCTGTTGTGATATTTACACTTTAGAGTGCTTTTGATTTTTACTGTTAAAATATGTGCATGTTAGGAATTTAAGAATGTATATGATCAAAAATTAAGGAAGCCTACTTTCCATTTAAATAACACTTATTAATCAAAAATCAGCCAAAGATATTCATTGATTTGAATCTTAAAATGTCAATATACATGTCTGATAATTCATATATTGACCATCTCCCTTCAGATTAGGAACAAATTCCAACACCTTTTGTAGATGTTAACAAGTGGCATGCAAAGAACCACAGGATGACAAAATAATATTCAGAGAAGCATTATTCAGAGTCTGTTGTTCAATAACTGTAGGGATCTGGACATCTCTAGGAGTACCCCCAGCCCTACAAATTTCTGAATATATTTCATTTTCTAGAAGAAAATCTGTTGTGTCTTGTACTTTGCATGTACATGTTTGTAAAGATACTTTTCAGTAGTGGCATCAGATAGTGAAGGCTTTATCCATTTCGAGAGATTCAACATACCCTAAATCTTCAGAAGTCAATTGAAACAATATTTTGATTTTTTTTCTTAGTAGGCTGCTGTTTGAGCCTACCTTTCTGCTATTTCTATGAATTTCCTTTAGGGGTACTTTTTGGAAAGTTGTGGTATACACAGTTTATTAATGAACTTACCGACCAAGGTTATTCAATGCTTAAAAAAAATAAGATTAAAAAAACAAAACAATTACCAAAAGAATGAAAGAAAATTAAATGTATGCTTATCTCCAATAATGTTTGAGGAATTTTTGTATGAATTAATTGGATTTAATTCTCTCAGGATTGTATGTAAATGGAATATAATAAAATAAAAACATACATAATTGTCCTTTGGGCTCCTCAGATTTCCCAAAATTTTGATGTCATATGTGCATTTTATAGGCATGTAACTTAGAAGTGTCTATTTTGAAACAGTATCTATCGTAGAAATCATACTCCATTATATTATTAAATAAATATTATATTATTATTAACACACATTTACAGGACAGTAATATTTACTTATGTGGGAGTTAATTCCATTACATTCAGTGAGATTCTTGATTAGACAGATACTTTTCAGGGTGAGCAATGTTATATAAAACTCAGAAAAACCATATGAAGTAATGAGCAAAATAAATTAAATGTAAGAGATGAAAGGAAATCTGATTAAATCTAGTTTATACCAACATCATTCATTATAGCACTCCTTATACCTTTCTATCCTTGCAAATCATCCTGAGATTTCCCTATCATGCACCTCATTGCCTTTGTCCTTAAATTTCTCATAGTACTACAACTTAATGAAACCACAATTTTCTTAGTCCTCTTATGCCATTTTCATGCCATTCAGTGTCCTTCATATATTTACTTTTAAAACCTGATCATAATTCATTTTGCCTATATGACCAAACCACCTCAGAGTACTTCTTTCAAACTGATCACTTATTTTTGTATTCAATCCACCTTCATTTATCATCCTATTCATTCTTAACCCTACCTCTCCTTGCTCTCTCTCTCCCTCTCCCTCTCCCTCTCTCTCTCTCTCTCTCTCTCTCTCTCTCTCTCTCTCTCACACACACACACACACACACACACACAGAGAGAGAGAGAGAGAGAGAGAGAGAGAGAGAGAGAGAGAGAGAGAGAGAGAGAGAGAGAGAGAGACTTCTTAAATAACCACTTCCTGCTGCATTTAAATTTCTCCTGGCACACCAAATTTTCACTTCCATTTAATAAAGTATAGTCTTACGCATAGCTATCATTCTTCACAAGACAGTCTAGTAGCCTATTCTATTAACCATCCATTTTCTCACCTTTGTAACTATTTTTTTAAACTACATAAAACTTACCTACTTGATCTCATTTTCCTTCCATAACATTCACTCCATTTTCACTTGCAAATCACAACTACCTTACTATTTGACATATTCATTTTTAGATCCATATTGCTCATAGTGTCATGTAGTCTTAATACTCAGTGCAGAAGTTCATATTTTCATGCAGCAACATGTCATGATTTGTATATAAAAGTACATGCTCAGCCAACCAAAATTACAAGTCCCCAACCAACATATGTCCAACATTTCTTGCATGCCCATTAATAAATGACTAAAGGGACATCAGACAATGAAATCAATCAGAAATCAATAGAATAAAGCTCCAAGGGAACTTGGAGGTCTTCTAGTCCAGCCCCTTGTTCAAGCAGGGGACCTTATATCATTTCAGACAAGTAACTATTCAGTTTCTTCTTAAAAACCTCCAGTGATGAAGTACCCACAATTTCTGTTGGCAAACTATTCCACTGGTCCTCACTGTTAGGAAGTTTCTCTTTAATTCCAGGTTGCTTCATTCCTTGATTAGTTTCCATCTATTGTTTCTTGCCTTGCCCTCTGTGCTTTGTAAAATAAGTTGACCCTCTCCTCTCAAATACTGGAATACTACTATCATGTTCCCCCCTAGTTCTTCTTTTCTCTAGACTAGCCAATCCCAAATCCTGCAGCCGTTTTTCCTTTTTTTTAATCTCCAGGCCTTTAATCATCTTAGTTAATAGCATTGGTTTATTTTATATTCTGTGTGAAACATTTGCTAAGCATTTCATTTGTAAACACACACCCTCTATTGTTCTTATTGAATTCGCATTCAATACTCCAAGGCGTTTATCATGCATTTTTTTCTATTCAGCAAATGTTCAGTATATTTTCTCATAGTCATACATTTCTCCACTAAAATGCAAGAATGCAACATTTTTGTCTGCATCTCACAGTATGAAGCCTGATCATATTTCCAATATTCTGCTATCACTATTTTATTCTTGTGCCCTGTCACTCAGAATTCTGCCAAAATAACTTTCCAGGCCCATTTTTCAAATTAATTCCTGTAATATAATTTTTATAATCATGTATACCTTTATAACTGTTATACTATTGCATTCTGTGAAATTAATAGAATTGTCAGAATAGAATAGAGCTGGAAGGGACCTTGGAGGTCTTCTAGTCCAGCCCCCTGCTCAAGCAGGACAACCTATACCATTTCAGGCAAGAAGTCTCTTCTTAAAAACCTCCAGTGATTTCTGAAGGCAAGCTGTTCCACTGGTTAATTGTCCTCACTGTTAGGAAGCTTCTCCTTAATTCCAGGTTGCTTCTCTCTTTGGTCAGTTTCCAACCATTGTTTTTTGTCCTGCCCTCTGGTGCTTTGGAGAATAATTTGACTCACTCCTCTTTGTGGCAGCCCCTCAAATACCCCTATTTCTTCTTTTCTTTAGACTAGCCAAACCCAAATACTGCAGCTGTTCTTCATATGTTTTAGTCTCCAGGCCTTTGATCATCTTAGTTGCTCTTGACTTTTTTTTTTCCAAACTCTCAACATCTTTTTGTGATATGGTGACCAAAATTGGTTGCAGTATTTGAGGTGTGGTTTTATTAGGGTTTTATAAAGTGGTACTAATACTTTACGTGATCTTGATTCTATGTCTCTGTTTATACAACCCAGGATTGTATTAGCTTTTTTGGCTGCTTCTACACACTGCTGGCTCATAGTCAAGTGATCATCCACTAGAACTCCAAGGTCCCTCTCACAGGTCTCTGTACTTAAATCTTTGATTTTTCCTGCTTAAATGTAAAACTTTTGCTTTTCTTCACATTAAAATTCATTTTGTTGGATAGGGCCCATTGTTCAAGTTTGTCAAGATCTTTTTGGATCCTGAGCTTGTCTTCTGGGGTGTTGGCTATTCCTGCCATTTTAGTGTAATCTGCAAAAATGTATTGACCAATGGACATAAATAATCACCAATTTAAATGTATTCTAAAAATTGTAATTAATGCAGAAATGGCTTTGAATGGATGTAAGAACAAAGCCAAATAAAAGTGATAAGGAATAGAAATAGATGGATACATTAATCTTTCTCACTAAATAAGAGTTGTGCTTTTAGTTAATGGAACTGAATAATCAGAGATGAATGGTTGCGATCAGTTCAAAGATTAGAAGGCAGAGATGGTAAGAAAGAAAACAGCTTTGAGCTTTGATAGTTTTGTTTCTCCTGCTAGACACCTGTACAGCTTTACAGAGAAAAATGCTTTGTTCTTCACAAACGACAACCAGAAATCTATAACACGTCTCAATTTAATGGCTCATCACTTTTAAGTACAATCTTTTCAGGCATATCTTTTATCTTTTTGAGTACTTCACTTTTCATTATGATAATGTTTCTGGAAGTGAAAGCAAAACTGCATTTGCCCAGACCCAAAAAAAATAATAATGTTAACGTTATTGTTGTGCTTCTCTTTAGATCTATCTAAGAATAGATGTAGGAATCCATCATTCAAAGTTGCTGCTACTGTATTCTCTATGTCTCTGTACACATGGGGATAGACTGTATTTGTTTCTTTTTAGCATTTGCCAGCATTGAATTGGTCCTGCTGTACTTTTACACAATCAAATTGTTATGTCAGAAAGTCTCTGATATGACTTTGATATGAAAGCATGCATTTTTCTTCATGTTTTGAATGCTCAACTGGGCATTCTTAAGTGCAACAGATCTTTTCTTTCAGTTCCACACTACAGAGATGTGCATTAGATAAGGAGTGGAACTAGAACCAGGGAGACCCAGATTCAGGTTCATTTTTAGCATTAGAAATCTATTAGATGACTTTGGGACAATTTTCCCTAAGGTGCTTTTCCAAAAAGCAACTGGAGTTTTTTGGTTTTTTCCCTTGAAAACGTTTCACTTCTCATCCAAGAAGCTTCAGCTGACAATCTTTGGGACAACCATGATTGAGAATCTCAATCAGCACTTTGGGCTAATTGTTTTCTCTCAGCCCCACCTACTCTCATGGCTATTGTTGTGGGGGACCGAGGTAATATGCAGGTTGTTAGATATACCATCTTGAACTCTTGGAAAGGCAAGATATAAAGATTAAAACCACTCAACAGAAACAATGATTCAAGCATACATAGGGAGGAAAATATATTAAAATCTGGTAATGTATCCTTCTATGTAGGTGTCCTTGGAAATCAAAATTCAATGTGAATAAAACCAGATACACTATACTTACAGAGAAATCTTTTACTTGGACAGATGCATTCTATTGAGTTCCATGGCAGACAGTAAATCAAGTTGCTTTGTAAAATAGGATACTGCACAGTTGTTGACAGCTGTCAGGTGTTCACAACTGTTTAATTCTTCAAATAACTTGCTAGTTCCCCCCTCCCTATTGCAGTCTGGAGTTTTGCAATTTACCATTCAACTGTATAGATCTTTCATTATACCTAGTGCTTCAACAAAGCCTAAAGGAATTTGCAAATGAATCTAAAAGCTAAACATTCAGACTCCAATAAAATCAATGCACATTTTTAATATTGTTATAGAATAAATGGGAAGAAATGGTCTCTAGCTAAGGAAAAAGTGCACCAGCACAGTGATAATACTTAATTCTATCATTAGATAACAATTTCAGCATTTGATAGTCTTTGTCTTCAGTCAGAACTATTTATATCATATAAGTCTCCTACTCAGATGCCAATAGAGTGGTATTTAAAGAAATCTTATTCAAGGTTTTCTTGGCATCATTCATCCTGAACATCAGCTATAAGATGAAATCGTGAATGGTAATTTAGCACTGCCTAACAGTATATTTATGAAATAAATTTATTAGATATAAATAATATTACACAAAGTAGAAGTGTGAGTGACTGCCTGGGATATTGTTGATGTATGACAGTTAGTTATAGATTATGTAATTTGTTAACACTAAGCATTTTCTAAATATAAGTTTTATTAAGAATTTTGTTTATAATAGTAAAAATTAATACAAACTAAACTTAAGAGACAAAAAGAGAAAAAAGAAAAAGGGCAGAAAAAAGAAAAAGAGAATATAATAAAGAAATGCATAAAGAAGTGATTCTTCACAACAAGTATAAACAAATTTAGTAACATAGATGTAGTAATTCAATAAGTACAAATTAAAAGAAACTGGAATCCATGTGGTATACTGTGCTGCAGCTGAACAACAAATTATATCAATGTTATGCATGCTCAGTACTGAATGAAACATTACCTTTCTGATACTAATCTTCTGTTCTGGTCTTTTAATGAAGAAGTACAATAATTTTTGAAACATTTATATAACAACTCCATGTAGGATTATTTTTTTAACAATGAGTACTTAAATGTTATCTTGGTTTACACCTATTACATGAAGATAGTCAATCAAAGATTAGATGTCCTTGTTTGTTATGAGAACGAAGCACAATGACCACGTTGACAGATTGTATAAGTCTGAATAACAATTTTGCCAGGAGCAGCAATAGTAAATATATGTTTTTTATACCAGGGCTTTTCAACCAGTGGTATGGGTACCACCTGTGGTACATTGGCACCTGGCAGGTGGTATGTGACCATCCTAGAGAAATGGTAGCGGGGGAGAGGAATGAGCTGAACTGGTGGCAGCACCGCACAAGCCTGAGCGAGAGATGGCTGGAGCTGCAGGGCTGTCAGGGCTCAGCGGAAGCCAGGATCGGCGCCAGGCTCCAACTGTAGCTCGGGGCTAATCCTGGTGCTTCTGCTGAGCCCTGAAGAAGCACCAATCAGCTGGAAAACAGCGCTGATCCTGGTGCTTCTGCTGAGCCCAGAAGGAGCACCGATCAGCTGGAATGTTGCAGCATCTCCAGGGTCTTGTGATTTACATTCAGATGCTTGGCAACTGATTCATATTTATGACAGTCACAGTGTCCCAGGGTCATGTGAAGTGACCAAAACCTTCTGCAACCACCCAGCAGACTGGGGGGGGGGGGAATAAAAACTAAACACCCCATCACCCCACCCCCGCTGCCAATCCTCAACAGAAATGCTCACAACAATGAAAACCTTGGACAGGAGGAAGAGCACCACCGGGTGGGCAGGCAGGTGTCTTGCTCAGCTGTGGCTTGGGGGGCACTTTTTTCAGTGCCATTGTAACTAAGTGAACTGTTATAAGTCAAGGACTACCTGTACTTTATCGCTTTTTTCCCTTTTTGGGGGGAGGGTTCATCAAGTTTTTGACACCTTGCTAGATGACTGGTGGTACTCGGATATTGCCATATCCTAAAAGTGGTACAATGGGTGAAAAGGTTGAAAAGCCCTGTTTTATACTCTTCCTGCTGAGTGCTGATGGAAACATAATTAGTAAATAGTAGGCTTCATCTACTAGGAATCCAGAGGGGGTTTCTCCGGGCAGGACTTAGGAGAGAATTCTAAGACACCATATAGCAAAATGAGTTCTCAATGGGAAGGGCACATTCAGCAGAATTAGGTGTCTTCCCTTTTTACAGATATACTTATTGAGACAAGGCAATTTTATGTTTGGACAAGGCCCTGAAAAGGAAAGTGAGACATTGGAAAAGAAAAACTTTCCTTTGCTACTCAATTTGTGATACCTTAAAAGAAAATCTTTCTTACTCCCCATTCCTCTGCAGGTTAGTTATGATGGAGAACTTCACAAACATCCACAGCTGGAAGCTGACTTGGCAGCAGTAAGAGAAATCTATGGGCCAAATGCAGTATCTCTCAGGTTGGTGTGTCTGTTTCTCTATTCAGTTACCTATCCATTGAATTACCCACATTCCTATCAGGGGTGTCCAAGTTGATTTGTTCAAATTGATTCAAAAGAATTCCCAATTTTTTTCTGACTCAGAAATCTGAATCAATTCTGTCTGAGTCTCCAAACCTGATTCAATTTGAGCTAGTTTAAATCATTAAAATATTGGTACATACATTGTGTTGTCCCAATCAATCACAATACATTCATTAGTTTGACTAATGAGTTCACAATACATTCATTAGTTTGACTAATGAGTTGGTTTCCTTTATTAAATGACTTCATCCTTTCAATTAGTTCAGAGTGTTAAATGTTTGCTCTTTTTCATTTTTTCTTTCAATATTAAGAATATCTATGTAAGAAAGGAAAAGTATGGATAAACACATATATTTTGACAAAAAAAGAGAAAGTATTTAATAATAATAATAATAATAGTAGTAAAGTTGGAAGGGACCTTGGAGGTCATCTAGTCCAACCCCCTGCTCGGGCAGGAAACCCTACACCATTTTGGACAAGTGGCTGTCCAGTCTCTTCTTAAAAACTTCCAGTGTTGGAGCATTTACTGCTTCTGGAGGCAAGCTGTTCCACTGATTAATTGTTCTCACTGTCAGGAAGTTTCTCCTTAGTTCTAGGTTGCATGATGAAAACTAAAGAATGAACATACAAATCTAGCTATGAGATGGACAGCCATTTGCATTAAACAACTAAAAAAAAGAAATGTAATTATAATTAAATAGCAATATAATTCTCTTTTCTTCATAAGAAAAATTCTAACTCAGTGATCTGGATGCTATCTTGAGACACATTGCAAAGTCCCAATTTTCTTTTAAGTTACACTGAAATTGAACCAGGCAGTCATTTAAACAGAATGTTTTCTATTTGGCCATTCTAATGGAAAATAGTCAAATCAATAATAGGCAGAATTGGTTGCAGGCCTGGAAAAATTCTGGACAAAAGTCAGAACTTTTCTAAAATCCATTTAAATGTCCCACAATGCCTCAAACTCTTCGTGTATCAAAGCATTATGGGAAACAGTTATAGTAACAAGATTTAGATATTCATTGCTACTTAGAACATTGGTGTTTTTCTTCATTTTTTTAAAAAAAACAGGAGATTAAATTTGAAAGTAAATACACAAAAGTCCTAATTGCTGGCTCTAGGCTTCTATGAAAAATCTGTTTTTCAGAGGCATACCTTGGATTATTTACTGGAATAATGAGATTATTTAAAGAGCAAAAGTTGAATTAGGTGATGAGTGTTATAAATGTTTTTAATTGTTATTTTTAACAATTAACTTAAACATACTTAAAATGTTCTTTTTAACTTCACTGCCAACTTAAGTGAGTCAATTCATTATTTCTAAAAACATACTAACTGCATTAAACTGATTTTCTTAAAGCCACAACTAAATAGATTTAGATAGAAAGGGAAGTTGTGTTCCTGTAAGTGATGCTGACTAACATTTCATGAAACTGCCAGTGCTTCCTGAACCTATTAGAGGCTGTAATTCAACTGTCATGAATGTAGAGAGTTTAACAGTGATTTTTTTCCTCCCTGTAATATGCATCCCTAGGATTGTACCTTCAGTTCCAGTTCCTGCCTAACGTCTTCAGCATACTGTCATAGACTGATATATTACTGGCTTTCTTCATTTATTTCATATGATTGCAGCAATTGGTAACTCTCATGTATAGACAGTACATTCATTTATTCATAAACTGAATTTCATACTTGTAGTATTCCACATGAATCAATCAAAATAAATCACTGCCAGGGAAAAAGTGGTCATTGTAATTGCCAAAACTCCCTTGAATAATGCCCATCCCAATTTTTGCACTTGCTTTTTGTGGTATTTAATCTTTATGGATCAGTTTATAGTGCACTTTACAATGGACTAGTCTTCATTGGGATTCTAGATATAATGTTATTGCAGATTACAGCCTTGTCTTTCTCTTAATCTGAATGCTTTGTCAGTTTTTGAACATAACTTTCTAGGGCTATTTCATTCGCACTCACTCCAGTTATCCAGACCCACAGTGAAGCAAAAGATACCTTAACATTCCTTTGTTTCATTTGCTCAGTGACATGTAAATTGAATTGCGAGTATACATTCCAGTTCCTTTGACAATATGTACAGGGGAAAAATATTTTTATTACATGCTGTTTGAATTAAGTGGAAATTCATTGAGTATACAGAATGTTGGAGATTAAGGTCCAAGGAGGAAATGAATAAGATAATCATTTTAATTGCATGTCCTGATAACAGCTATGGTTGAAAAGCTCTACATCACTTTGTGTGTGTGTGTGTGTGTGTGTGTGTGTGTGTGTGTATGTGTGTGTTTATATATAAACAAATAAATGAGGAAGCATCACTTTCTTTTTTAAAAAAAAAAACCCTCTCTTGTGTGCAAACTGTTGAGTGTGTTTTAACTTCCTTGGTGGTCAAAAAGTGCTCCCTTGAATACTGATTAATTTTTACTCTCAGCTTTATGGCTAGTCTCCAACTTCCATAACCTAGTCCAGCAACTGGGACATCACTGTAAATTAAACCAGGGTCACCTTCATAGGAGGCCTCATTCCCACTTTCCATTCCAACTCATCAATCAATAACAGGCAGTGCTTTTTCAAGCTGCTATAACATAGCCCTGTAACATAAAGATATTTATATTTAGACAAGAGATGGGCAAGGAACTGTTTTTTTCTTGGAGTTTATCAGACTCTCTGCACTACTGGGCTTTTTTATTATTACAAGAAATAAATGAGAAGCTGAAATGTTGCAAAACAGAAGGCCAGTTTCTAGCCACATCTGTATTTACTACAAGAATGAGTCTGGACTCCACATGGCCTATACAAGTCTTTTTTGACAGCCAGTGATTGATTTGGAAGCATGTTTAGAAAACCAAAGTAATCTGGAGTAATAAAAAAAAAATCTGGGGAGGAGATGATAATGTATACTCTCTGCTTAATCAGTTTTGGTTCATGAGTGTTTTGTAAGTAGGGTAGATATTTGGGAATAGGCAAGCCATTTTTTTATTGGATTTTTTTTGGATATTCCTAAATTAAGAAGATTCAAAATTAATGCTGTGCCAAAAACTGCCCTGAAACTTCTCAAAATTTTATGAAGGAGGTGTCTGTTTTTCTACCTTATTGGGGGGGGGGGGGTTGAGAATTTCTTTTAAAATTCTCTTGGTGATTTTTTTTTTGAGTTTTTTTAGAAATGATAAAAGAGGCAACTGCTGGTTATGTTCTTTTCTGAATATTCCCCATATATCAACATAATCATAATTTCCCCTCACACACACACACACACACACACACACACACACACACACACTGGAGGAATCCGCTTATGGTGTCTTCCCTTGGCTATGAGTGAACAAGAGGAAGCCAGGAAGTCTGCAGCTTGCCAGAGGGATCATTGCACAAAGATGAACTGGATACTTACACATACATACATACACACACACACACACACACACACAGAGAGAGAGACAGAGACAGAGACAGAGACAGAGACAGAGAGAGAACGAGAACTAGAATAAGTGCAAGAAGATCATCCATGAAATTTTACCAAAGTTCCTTCTTGAAATAAAATTTCAAAAGCATTATCTCTTTTATAAGATGTAGATCAGTGGTTCTCAACTTTTTTAATGCCGCGACCCCCAACCGGTCGTAAGTCGAGGATTACTCAACCGGTCGTATGTCGAGGACTACACAACTGGTGCAGACGGTTTGCAGAATGGGACTTTTGGCGGGCTCAGCAGGGCAGAGACAGCCTGGACAATTCCTATTGGCTTTTGAATGCCAATAGAATTAGACTCTATTCAAGAGAGTCTATTCTATTGGCTTTCAAAAGCCAATAGAATAAAAGGGAGTAGCACAGCTAAGGAAAAGGGGAAAAAATGGTGGACTGCGTTGTTTGGCGATCCCTGTGGAATGGTCGTTTGACCCCAAATGGGTCCCGACCCACAGGTTGAGAACCACTGATGTAGATGGAAAAGGAATGTGTTTGCTGCACATTGTTATTCTAAATGAATTTAGCAATTTAAGAAGTTTGCAGCTTAGTTAAGAGAAAGCCTGTGCTTTCTCTTACATATAAAAGAAAGTATTATAGCAATTGTCAAATACTGGACAGCATCGATAAGAAAATAACTGTATAGAAAATGATAGATAAAATTGTTGTCAAGGAATCTAAAAAAACCTAATCTTTCTTTCTTTGGACAGAATAACAAAACTATTGGTTCCACCCAGATTCATTCTAGAGGATAAATTCTTGTCCATCATTAAGCATGCATTAGAACCAAAATATTTTTATTCTTTTTTCTCTTAAGCTTCCTCTTAATTTCTGAAGTACAGTTTTGTTATATATGAAAAGTCTGGGGAATACAATGTTGGTTCTTCAGATGAGCTTAAACAATATTTATAATTGATGAGCTTAAAAAAGTAGTTACATTTGCTTGATGTTTATTATTAACCTTTCATTACCAAACTAGATAACATCATCACTGCACTGATGATGTTACCTAGTTTGATAATAAAATGTCTGTAGGAAAACAATTAAGCTTACAGAGCACGAAGGACTCTACAGTTCACCCTGAACTACAAATATTCTCTTATATCATTTTATTATTACGCAAATATTAAATTCAATGAAATCACATTTCCATATACTATTCATTTGCTTTTTTCAAAGCTTCTTTATTGGGAGAGATGCTTGACTGTGCTGTTATATTTGCTTATTCATTCTTTGTGTACTTTAGGGTTGACTGTTTGTTTATCTAGTCAAATCCTGTCTATTTTCACTAGCATGCACTCTTCAAGGTTTTGCTAAACTATAAATAGGGGACCTGCAGTATACAGTACATTCATTCTTTCACTAAAAAAATGTTTATCCTAATCAATTGGCAAATCAAAATTCTCTCACTATTATAAAAGCAGTTTTTCTGCTCAAGCTGCTCTTCAGATAGCCAGTTAGCTTGAGAAGGATGATTAAAAGTATCAGACTTAGATATAATGTAAGTTTTTTTTCCTTTCAGGGAATATGGAGCCATTGATGATGTAGATATTGATCTGCATATTGATGTTAGCTTTCTTGATGTAAGTAAACTAATAACAAGGTTTATAATGAAGGCTGATAAGCAACTGTCTTTGTCTTTCAGCATGAAGTCAACTGTTCACAGGCAGTTATCTCTTTTTTTAACTTCATAATTTTTTCTTGCATTGGGAAGAATGTGTTTCTGTTTTCAATGGAAATATTTGCAGGATGATTTCCAAAGGTAAATTCCTATAAAAGCAATATGCCCTAGATTTCTTTGGAAACACATTTGTGAGATCTGCCTCAACTAAGCCGATGCGACACACCTTGAATTACGATTAACTAATCTCATTGGGTAAAAACATTTTCCCAGTTGTGTCTGAAAAAGAAAGCATCTCTGAAGATTTCTAAAAGTTCTATACAAAAACAAGACAGTTGTGTTCTTGAGAAGAAAAGGTTACATGGAGAATGTATGTAATACAGAATAGTTCTGCATTATCCTTATTAAGAAGATGTAGTAGAGAATTGATTTTAAAAATACTACATTAGGCAAAATTTTGTACAAAAGCTCTTTATGAAAATATGGATTGCAAAATAGATTGGATTTATACTGATTCACACATTCCTGATGGAAGTTGTATTATCTATTATCACCTGCTTATACCACAAATGACCAATCTCTAGTGCAGTTCCTGAGCCCATATTTTTTGGCCCTCAGACCCACCTCTGAAAGTGATGAATAAAAATCTGTGGTAGGATCCTGTACTCTCAACATAGCCAGGTGGAAATTAGTGTATCAAAGTCTTCAGATAGACTAAACATAACATTAAAAAAAAAATCTTTTCTCAGAGGAAAATGGAATCCCTACCAAGAAGTGTGGTTGTATCTTTCTCCTATTTACCTGCCAAGCATTAAGTTACCTATTGCACACTGTTACTTTTCAGTGATTTCTAATGTCACAAGCATGTTTTTTTCAGTCCAATTTTGGGATACCTAAAAAAGAACTTGGAACCTATTACATACAAAGGATGTATGTACCAATGAATATATGTACAAACACATATTCATTGGTACATACATCCTTTGTATGTAATAGGTTATCTCTTCCCAAGTGTAAAAGATGGTGGTTGAATTTGGTTTCATTTCTGGAAGCTCAGAAAACCAAATCTTCCAGAAAAAAGTTGATTTGCTATTATGACCATGCAAATTTGGCATTTCTTTCCACTTGCAGAGCTAGTTCCTGTTCAAGTCCCAATTTAGTTCTATTTCTGACCTTTTGTATATTAGATAACAGCTGATACCACACATGCCTTGGCCAATCAGTTTAGAAAGGAACTTAGGTGAACACCTTCATTTCCTTGGTCAGGTGCCCCAAAAATATGTCCAGTGTAAATTTGCTGATAATGGCTAACACGTTCTGTTGTGCTGTTCATTCAGGACGAGATTGCAGTGGCCTGGGATGTAATCCGCACAGAGCCTATAATTGTGCGCTTGCACTGTTCACTCACCCAATACTTAAATGGACCTGGTAAGTTACATTTGTCTTTCTCCTGTATAATATCTTCACAAGGACATCTATGTATTTATGATGATCTTTCGTCACTAAGGCGGTACATAATTGTATGGGTAGATAGCAATACTCCAAAAGCAAACAGGTTGGGTTGTTAACGATCAGAATAATTTGTTAATAAAGAAAACTGGTAACTTCATTATTTTGTGTGGTCTTCTAGTTAAATTTCAATAGCCATCTCTTTATTATTTGAAGTCCCTTGTAGAGAAGGAAGTGTGGAGCTGGCTTGTTAGTGAAAGAAAACAAACAGAGGACTCTACAAAGATGTAGAAAACCTGCTATAGTTTATTCTCCTGAGAGCCTTAAGAATTCAGTGTTGGGACTGAAAACAAGACAGACTCTTTGGAGTGTCAGCAGTCCTAACCAAAAATGCAAAAATCAGTTCATTTTTTTAAAAAAGAAAGAAAGCAAAGCAGAATAAAATGTGTCAGGCTACAGCAGTTTGAGGCTTATTATCCTCCTTTTATGCCAACAGACTTAATGGGCATTCAGACCTTGGCATAAAGGCATTTCTCTTCCTTGGGAGTCTCTGGTCCAGGGCTTCTCAACCAGGATTCCATAGATCCATCCTGGGTTTCCATGAGAGGTCACTAAAAGTTCCCTGGAAGAAGATGATTTATTTTTAAAAAGTAGAAGCCAAACAAAAACCCTCCAGCTTCCAACACTGAGATAGCCCACTGAAATGTGCATGAGCTAAGGCATGAGACAAGAGGGAAGGAGGGTTGAGTGGCAGATGGTGAGATACCGCATGCAAGAGAGACACTACCAGGGCCTCCATGCTGGAGCTCTCTTTAACAGTGTACCCCTACCTTTCTGCAGGTGCAGCAGCTTAGGGGCTTCATTTCTAATATGAGCACAGGAAATATAGGGCTTACCTAGCTTGGACACCAGTGGTGGCTGGAGCCACCACAAAGGCCAGGGGGCAGGGTGTAAGGAGGTGAGGGAAAGGAAAAAGTTATTCTTTATTTTTACTTTAAGAACTCTGTTTATGCATATATATGAGCCTACACATGAAATGAATATAATAATGTATAATTCTTCCCCTGGAGATGAAGCATGCCGCCCTGGCCTTCTGAAAAGAAGTTAAACCATGGCTCTGCAGCTTCAAGGGGGGGGGGACAGCTCAGAGGAGCATGCAGTCAAGGGGCTGTTTATAGTCCCTTGAAAGCCCTCCCCTCACCTTTTAACTAATTTTAATAGTATTCAATCTCTCTTTTGCTCCTCCTAAATTTTTAACATTTATAGGTACTGTTTCAAATTTTAACATTTTTGTATACTGCCCAGAATCCCTCTTTTAGAGAGATAGGCAAGTCATAAATGTGAAAAATAAATAAACAATTTTGTAATTTCTGGCCTATATTTGAGCCTGAAGGTACAGGGGTTCCTTAAGACCTAAAAAATATTTCAAGAGTTCCTCCAGGCTTCAAAAGGTCGAAAAAACCCAGCTGGGTCCTTCCTCTTAAATAACACTTTCCAATATGAGGAACCATTTCTAATCTGTGTCCGCGAAATGAGCTGGATTTCAGCCAGACAGCATAGAAATGTAGGCGAGTCTGTTTATACAGGCCTTGATAGCTATAATTCCAGCTGGTACTTCCTCCACAGGCTTCTCTTGTTGTGGTTGTTGTTGTTTTCCGGTATCTGCTGTTTCTTCTACCTTTTTCTCCAACCCACACACATGCCCTTTTTACAGAGCAGCCTTTGCACTTACCGTAGCTATACCCGGAATCTGCAGGGACTCAGGAGTTGTAGCTGGAAGTTGTACAGGAAACTGGCATTTTCCCTTCACCACATTGTCTTCCCATAAAATAATGAGACAAAGAATTTCTAACTTCTGACCCTCCAGAAGGCCTTTTCTATTTTAATTTGTCTTCTTGGAATGGTTGAGTCATGCAGGGGACTTTTAAGAACTTAGCGTATATTCTAACACTGCTGTTGGTTGCATATATATCTCAGAATAACAGAGTTGGAAGAGACATTGCCCCCTGTTCGGCTTTCTCCCTAACAAGAGTGGGAGAAAGCTCAAAAGCTCAAAAGCTCCACTGGTGTTTGTTTGTTTTGTTTCAAATATTACAAGCTAGTGTGTTTTTCTAAGGCCAGTGGAGTCATGAATTGTGGACAATAGCATGCTCCCCATTCGCAGTAAGAATTCTAAATTGATATTCCAAATTTTAGAATTTTCGCCTCCCAGGATCACCCAGGCTGAGATGGGTGGCTAGAGACATGAACTAAATAAGAGTCAGGGAAGGGTTTTCTTCATTATTGTCCCTGAAGATAGCCTAACAGCTCTAGGGATCCTGGGAATATCATTTGAATGTTTTTGTGTAATGCTATCAGATAGAAAATAAGTAGGTCCTGAAGCTGAAGAGCTTTTGGAAAAACGTTAATGCATTTATTTGCCTTGATGATATCAGCTGTCTAAATTATTGTTTTTATGTTTAAAAAAAACTTGCAGATTTTATTCTTTTTTTTGAACATTACAAGTCCTTGACTTACAACCACAATTGACCCCAAAATTTCTGTTGCTAAGCAATACAGTTGTTAAATGAGTTTTGCCCCATTTTATCACCTTTCTAGCCACAGTTGTTAAGTGAATCACTCCGGTTGCTAAGTTAGTAAAACAGTTGTTAAATTAATCTGGCTTCCCCATTAACTTTGTTTGTCAGAAGGTTGAAAAAGGTGATCACATGACCCAGGAACATTGCAATTGTCATAAAGATGAATCAGTTTCCAAGTGTCTGAATTTTGATCACATGGCCACGGGATGCTGCAACGGTCGTAAATGTGAAAAACGGCCATAAGCCCCTTTTTTCAGAGCCATAACTTCGAATGCTTACTAAACCAGTGGTTGTAAGTAGAAGACTATCTTATTTCATGCAGGAGTGTCTTCCTGATCATTACAGTTTTGCTTGCTTTTAAAGTGAATATTGGTATGAATGTATAGCCAATACATAAATATTTTATTGATATCCCTCCATTCCTATAAGAACTTAAGGAGATTTACATAGGTTCTCTCCATATATTATCTTCACAATGATAGCCTGTGAAATAGGTTGGCTGAGAGTGAAAGTGGCCCAGGAGTCACATAAATCGAACCTATGTCTCTCTCCCACCCATGTCCTTAGCTTTAAACTCTACACCAGTGGTTCTCAGCCTTTTTAATGCCGCGACCCCCAACCGGTCGTAAGTCGAGGACTACTCAACCGGTCGTAAGTCGAGGACTACTCAACTGGTGCAGCCCCGTTTGCAGAATGGGACTTTTGGCGGGCTCAGCAGGGCAGAGACAGCCTGGACAATTCCTATTGCTTTTGAAAGCCAATAGAATTAGACTCTATTCAAGAGAGTCTATTCTATTGGCTTTCAAAAGCCAATAGAATAAAAGGGAGTAGCACAGCTAAGGAAAAGGGGAAAAAAATGGCGGACTGCGTTGTTTGGCGACCCCCGTGAAATGGTCGTTCGACCCCAAATGGGGTCCCGACCCACAGGTTGAGAACCACTGCTCTACACTATCCTAGAAGAGAAGATGAAAAACAAACTAATAATCAGGATGCTTATGTGAATGCAAGCTGTACTTACCATTATACATAACATTAGCTTAATATCCAATATTTCCTACAAATCAGTAATACAATGATGCTGAAAAATAGTGGGTGCCTAAAAGTAAAATATTTTTTGAGCTCAATCATAAGGAGCATTGGAAGAGAAAGCTATAGACAAAAACAGAAGAGTGAAAATTATTGAAAGGGAAATATTGAAAGTGCAGTAAAAGTTACTGGATCAGATTGGATGCAATTGGAAATGAAGAAAATATGAGAGGGATTTTTGAGGGCTTGGCATATTGGACGGCAGAAGAAGAGAAGAGAGAAAAGAGGAGAAGATTGATTGAGATCTAGGCCACATGAAGTGTGGAAAATGCTTGAAGCCATGGACTGGATGGGTGATGGTGTCAGGTGTTCCTGAGAGAAGATGTTGTTCAGAGTTTGGGCAACATGAGAAGCAGCCTGAGTTAGCAGCAGGGCATGGGCCATCCAGTTTAGATGGAGTCTTTCCAGGAAACCAGCACAGAGCTTTGCAAGAGATTTTGCAAAAATGGACAGGGTGGCTTTATGCCATATGGTGTCAGGTCTTAGAATATCTTTGGCAGTAGGTTATACCCAAGAGATTTAGGTTTCCCAGCTTGTCTGAGCCCTGCTGCTACCACCATTAGATATATCTGCCAGCACACATACTATTTTAGAGACTAGAGATTTTGAAATTGGGAGCTGGGCAAACTGCTATATGGGAACATTAGCATACAAGACTACTTGGTCCATAAGTACAATTCCAGTTTCAAATGTAAATTGCTTTGTTTGTTTACTCTGATTTTTAGCCTTCTTATTGTAAGAGGGATATGTAAACCATTCAGAGTTCTTTTGGATTGTAGTGGCCTATAAATCAAAGTAAGTAAATAAACTAAGTAACTAAGTTCTGGGGATTTCATGGCATACACATATACTTTTCCCGGTAAAAACATAGCTGCCTATTTCCAAGACATATTCAATTTCTCAGTCTAATCAACTGCCTGATATTCTCTGGTAGTCCATCTAAGTAAGAACTTTATAGACCTTCACTGACTTTGGAAGTTAATAAAGATTGACCCTGGATGAAAATTCTAGAGCAGTGCTTGGATGAAAATTCTAGAGCAGTGGACTAGATTTGAAAACTAAAACAAGAAGAAACTGTCCCTAAAGACAGCAACAGCAAATGGATCCGGTCAAGAAAACTACATGGATACAGTAATTAGAAGTCAAGCTTTTTCCAAGGACGTCTATTAGTGTATTGCCATGAGTCAGTTTGGAAATTGGTGATATAGATTTGACTAATCATTTTCATTTTTACTAAATAATTCACTTATGATGGTATATATTAAATTATTGCAAGTTAATGTATAACATTAGATCATCTGAGGCTGCAAGTAATTTGCGCAATTAGTACAGTATGATTACTTGAGGCAGAAATTAGGGGTAATCACTAGATATTCCAGCAAAAATTATTGTGTTCTTTGATACTGCTCCTTAACAATAACAACAAAACTTCAAAAAGGCTGCATATTATCATCTAGTATTTTCTTCTTATATGATTATTCCAGTTGCTGTTGTGGTGATTTGGATTGTAGCCAAGCAATTAAGAATGCAAATAATGCTTGTATACAAATATATTTATAAATATTAATACTGCAAGGGAGAAAAAAGAATAGAGAACATTATAGTTCTCTATTAATAGCAACTTATGGCATTAGAGATTCAGTAAACTGGGTCCAATTAAGTAACACTTTAAATATTTGCTGAGATAAAAGTCATTATAAGCCTTTTATAGGGGACTGTTCTTCACTCAGTTTTACATTTTGATAGGCTATTATTTTAATTGTAATAAACCAAATTTCAGTATCATAATTGGTTCTGTCACTTGATGAAATGATTCCTTCTGCTTTTAGTAATTTTCATGCTTTAAAATTTTCTAAACCAGCTGTTATAATTTACAGTAGCTAATTATACTAATACAAGTAGTTTTGAAATGTAACCCTGAAGGTTGTTTTTGTTTACATCAGCGGTTCTCAACCTATGGGTCGTGACCCCATTTGGGGTCGATCAACCATTTCTCGGGGGTCGCCAAACAAGGCGATCCACCATTTTTCCCCCTCGGGGAGGGCGTCGCCACGCATGCGCACTGCGCATGGGGCGCCGCCGCGCATGGGGCGCCGCACATGGCGGCACGTTTGTGTGATGGGGGTCACCGTCACACAAACATTGAGAAGCACTGGTTTACATCAAGTGCTGCTTCAATGCTGAGCTTCTCTAAAAGTATCTAGCTATGATTTCCAGACAAAACCCCTTTGTATTAAAGAAATCAGCTGTGTTCTTTTGATAAATCTAACCTGTCTCTTGTTTTCATAATTTGGTGACTTTTTTCAAGGGATAAGAGCTCATGGTTATCACCATGGTCATGCATGTAGTTATATAACACATATATGCCATCATTATATAACATTACTGCACAAATATAGAAATTTGAAAAACATGTAGAAAAATACAATACTAACCTTAAAAGTATTCAGTGAGAGGTCTTCCATAACACCAGCTCATTTAACCTTTTTCCTTTTAGAAACTTTATACTTTTCTAAAACTGTATACTTTCCTAAGTCTCTTTTCAGCCCAATTTTCTAATTTTCCCTAGCAGTATTAATACTTCATCACCACCAAAGGAAGACTCTTTTTTTTTTCCTTAAAAACAAACCAGGGACTCTTTTTTTCTTACAGGCACACACCATAAATGGGGAATGAAATACTCATAAATGGATAGCAAAATGTTTCTGCTTCAGATGGCCTGTTTTATAAATTATGCATCGCCTTTATGCATTGATATCTCTCTTTCTGTATTCTCTGCTCTCTTTGCATTCATTTCTCCAACAGCTACATTAACTTTTCGGGCAATGTCCCTGCAAATCAAACTCATTTATTGCCAAGTAAGGCTTGAATAAAATTCTACAAGGTCCAATGTCAGATATATCCAATAGGCACAAAAAGTGAAAACCTGCCAAATACTAAAAATGGCCGTCACCATTTTTGTGCACCACCTTCCTGTTTTGTTTAACTCCTTACTCAGCGAAAAAACATGAAACTTGTTCCAATGTTTAGAATCTGCATAATTTATATAACTTGCTGATGTTTTCATTTACTCCATAACTGTGGATTTTGGATTGTATCCAGTAACAGGGTTGAAATACAAAATTGTAAGATGTATAGATTATCCAATCTGAGTTGGTCACCGGGCCTAGTGGTTTAGTCTTCTGAGTGACGTATTCTGATGAGAAGAAAAGTTCCCTGTGGATGGGCTCCAGCATGAACCCAAAAGCTTAGAAGATTAAACCTCTGGTCCCGATGACTGACCCAGATTGGTTCCTGCAACATTGTCCTAGGACACATGCATTTGCCCTCCTTTGTACAAATCATTCCTAACTTGCCATCACTGAATAGGCTGATTCACCTACCAAGCTGCTTTCTTTTTCTCGGTTGATATTATATCACTTTTATCTCCAAGAGAATAAATACCCCACCTGTGATTCCCTGAAAACATGAAATAGTTTCTATCTTGCAGAAATGTTCAGAGAATGGCAAGAAAAACACAAAAAGGCCTAATCATTTATTTCCTTCTCCACAACTTGCCAGTCCAAAAAACAAATTCCCTGTCCCCAGTTCCATGTTGATAAAAAAGGAATTGTCTTGAAAAAGGCTTTGGAGAAATACAAGCAGAAGTCTGCTTTATTCTGTATCAAACAAGACGCAGAATAAATAAGGGTTTTGTCCAAGTATGAAGAAAATGGTGTAATCAGCAAAACAAAACTGTTTAGTGAAAAGAGGATCAGATACCAGTGAGAGAAGACAAAGCCAGTAAGGTGAATTGACACATGAGCAGGTTGGACAGTCCCATATAAAATTCAGGTTAAAACATTACTGAAAAGCTTCTGTGCTTAATAGTGTTAACAACCATTAAAATCAGATAGAGGTAGCACGTTCTTCTACATCATCATTTCTGCCTCTGGTGAGCAAGACTTCCATAATTGGTGAGAATTGTCAACTACAGGTAGTGCTCAACTTATGACCATTTGTTTAATAATCATTCAAAATTACAACCATTGCAGTGTTCCTTTGGTCAAGATTTGTATTTATGAAGGTTGCAGTATCCTGGGATCACTTGATTGCCATTTACAGTTTTTCCTGTGGCTTTTGACAAGCAAAAACAAGAGGAAAAGTTGGATTTGCTTAATGATTATGCAAAAAAAGAATGTAAAATTGGGCACAGCTTACTTCATGATTGTGTCACTTAACGACAGAAGTACTGGCAGTTGTACTCCAGTTGTGAAGAGAGCATTATGTGTAGAATAATTTCTGACAGGAGAACCATGGACCAGATTGGCTTCTGGTCCATGTAGGATAAATGTGTCAGGACATTTCTATGGGGCAATCTTTCTTGTCCTTTGTACATATAAGCTTGCCCTACCAAGATAGGAGTCTGAACCTGAGTTAATGACATAATTAAGGAATTCAGTTTTGTGATAGGACCAGTGATTCTCCTCCACAATAATGTAGTCAGATTTGAGGATGTTGTGGACCACAAATTTCCTATTCATCTGAATTCCAGTTATGACCACAGTTTCAAACTACAACAATTTGCTTGGTTTCATTAGCACATTTGAATTGGACACATCGTTGCAAATTATTCTCATCACTTGTTCATAAGCTTATCCTACTTACAGAAGCAGTGGTAAGAAGAGGAGGTATTGTTTGGTGAACACTAAGATTGTGGGAATTGTAGTTTCTCATGTAATTGAAATCGGTATGAAATTCAGCACCTGTCTGAATGGAATCCATTTAAGCAACTCTATTCCAAATCAATTCCAGAGGTTATTCATAGCTGTCTAGATGTATTGTGTTTATCACTGGAAAACGTTGCTAGCATGGATGCTACAGATCTTTTTTTATCCATTGTTACGACAGCTCTAAGTCTTTTTTCTAATACATGATTTACCTTAATTGTAACGAGTACTTCATTCTGCTCATATAATAACAGCGGGATAAGTTTAGAGGCTTTAGGTTTTTTTTTTGTTGGTTTTTTTTAACAGCTTCTGGGACCAATGAGGGAATGTCTCTAATGATATAGCAATATCATCAGAAGGGCAGGTTGAAAGGTTTTCAGAGTTTGGAGATGGCTCACCAGGAGTTTAGAGTGGAAAAAGAATGTTTTGCCTTGTGGAGACTTAATTTATACTTCCTCTTCTCTCTCTTTCTCCCCCCAAAAGAGTAAAGAGTGCCACTGAAAATATATAATTTTTCTCCCAAAATAATTGTGGAGTGCTCTGGGTATCTTTGAATGAGGATTGAAGCACCTCATGTGTCTTAGAGCCATGGATTGCCCAACTGTACCATACAATACAATTAATAATGACTTTTAAACAATATGTTTGCCCCTGTTTTTTCATTAATATCTTTTATTCTACAGTGCCCACCATTGATGTATTTCAGATCTCTACTAAGGAAAGATTTGGACTGGGGCATCAGCTAAAGAAGTAAGTTTTCCCAAAGAGAGACATAAATGTATTAGGCATAAATATTTGTTTCTCATTGTGAGGTATTGTTTTTGGCTACAGTATTTTATAGTGAATGCATTTTGAATTATTAACAACTCTAGCAATGTTTCTGATGACCCCAAAAATGCATCAACATTTACCATTTCATTTTATAATTTATGTAAAAAAATTAACATTTTTTGCGTTTCCTCACTTAGATAAATAATTATATTTGAATATTACAATGCCTTGCATGACTGTAACGAAATAATTTTGCTTTTTTATTTTCTCAGAATTTATGAATGGATATTTAAGGTCAATCTTATATAAATGTATTGGACATGAACAAACCCAAAAGCTAAATCAGCAATTCCTGAATTGCACAGTTGTATTTTTTTAGAGATGGTCTCTTGAAAAATTCAAGAAGCCAAGACTTTTAGGCCACTTTGTGATGATTTTATGAATTTTATGTTTTTGACAGAAAAGAAAATCTGATGAATCCTGCCTTATTTATATACCTAAAACAGGAACCCTGTTGTTTTTTGGGAATGGAAGTTTCAGATATTGTAACTGGGAGGATTTGAATGGAAATCTCTAGGGAATATCGATATACAGATATTCTGCAGAATAGATTAGAAAGTGAAAAATCCATTCCTTATCATTTGTAAGAATGCTACCCATAGATTGTATTTAACAGCATGGAGGATAAATTAAGGGTGATTAAATGGACTACAATGCATGTTGCATCTTCTTTTCTGTATTTTTTTTTCAACTGCTGAAAGAGTTGCAGATAGCTTTGAGCATATAGTACATGTGTTAAAAGAGATTCTGATATACTAGACTTTTATACTTGCTTCTATTATAAAAGCTAAAGATAATGGTTACTAGGAAAGTATAAGAGTGAAAGCATTTCAGTTTAATCAACCAAATCCAGTTTGAAACAGAACATAGATTTCCGGGACTTTCGTTGTCAGTTTAAACTTAAATTTCCATTCTGGGTAAGATATGCATGCACTATATTGATAGATTGATTGTTCTGTATTGCCAGACTTCCCAGAGTAGTTGTTTGTTTCATATTTTGCAGAATTATGCAAACATTTGTTACACAGCAATGGAAAAATGGCAAAGAAAAATCGAACAGTATGCACAACAAAAAATTCTCAGAAAAGAAAGTGAAATCTCCCCTGCACATCTTTTCTACATTGCGCAGGTAGGAGGAAGTGATAAAATACATGCCTTATTGTTTTGTTAAAAAAGAGAGAGAGTTTTGCTATAGGTTTTTGGTCAAATCTTGTCACATACTTTCAGCACCGGCTTGATGACTAATTTTATTTTGTTTCAACAAACGTGGGATTTAAAAAAACTTTTGCCATGGGTCTTGCTAGTAATTAATTTTGCTTTCTTTTTTTCTTTTCTTTTCTTTTTCTTTTCTTTTCTTTCTTTTTTTTTTTTTTTTTTTTTGCTCCCAAGGCATCCCTGGTGAAGAAAAAGAATATAGTCCAATTAGTCTATTGAATTTCTTGAGGAAAAAAAAAACTCATAAAGGGAGTGATTGGTAGTTGTGTTCATTTCTGAACAGTTTTGATGATTGCCAAAAGGTCTCTTCTTTATATATGATAAAGCAATGCCACTCTCTTTACAAAATAGAGGTTCATTCCTTGATGTATCCTGAAAATGCTATATGAGAATGTGACAGTTTATGTCCATATGATCAATCTGGAAAGTGCCTCCAGAACGAAAAAGACTAGTATATTTGGGGTGGATGGAAAGTGAGAAGCACCTCCATTTAGTCTTCTCTCATTTGGTGAATATTTCTTTGGCCTTTGTTTCCAAAGAAAATAAATATTAGCAATATTAGAAAAATATGCCTGATGTAATCTCACCTATGCATCCCAAATTGGAATGGTCCTCTCATCTATTGATAGATCGGCATAATTTGGAGGGGATCCCAGGCTGAAATCTCATTCTTCTTGGTATTTTGCCACTTCCTAGTGCAGTGGTTCTCACCCTGTGGGTCGGGACCCCATTTGGGGTCGAACGGCCATTTCACGGGGGTCGCCAAACAACGCAGTCCGCCATTTTTTCCCCCTTTTCCTTAGCTGTGCTATTCCCTTTTATTCTATTGGCTTTTGAAAGCCAATAGAATAGACTCCCTTGAATAGAGTCTAATTCTATTGGCTTTCAAAAGCCAATAGGAATTGTCCAGGCTGTCTCTGCCCTGCTGAGCCCGCCAGAAGTCCCATTCTGCAAACAGTGCTGCACCAGTTGAGTAATCCTTGACTTACGACCGGTTGAGTTGTCCTCGACTTACGATCGGTTGGGGGTCACGGCATTGAAAAGGTTGAGAACCACTGTCCTAGTGGCAGATCATTCATATCCAAAGGCTGAACTGATGCCACATAGAGAATAATTATTTGTCCATTCCTGTTTCACTCTGAGGAGGTTGCAGGTTTTTTTTTTATATCTATCAGCCATCTCCTACCCATAAACCTGCCAACTGAAGAAATGGATTTGCATGCAGTTTTCGTAACTGATTTCATTTGGATTCTAGCTCTTTGATTTTACAGATACATGTACAGGAATTCCCTATGCTATTAGAAATTCTAGGCCAATTAAAATAGCCTTTAGTATTCATTATATTCACAGATCTCAAAAGGTATGCAACTTTGTGTGTCCAAAATATCTCAGTGGTTCCCTTTATTTTAAATACGTATTCATTTATGTCTATATGTCCCTGAATAGTTCACACTATCTAGAGATGTGACACATCAACTAAGGAGAAACATAGGTTTTGTCAGTTTATTTTTCATAGAATAAGTTCTGCAGATCCACATAATGCAATTTCCTTCCCTGGCTTTCACCACTGCCTTGCAGAGATCTATTAGTAGCACAGTAAATATAGTAGACACTTCAAAAAATAAACTTGTAATTTTTCAGTTACATCTTGTAAGATCTCACTGCTAGGAAGATTGCTGATCTGCTTAGTGTCTTGATGGAGAAAATTCACAGAACCATGAAATAACTATTAAGCTGTGTTCCTAACAGATTATTTGCATAATTGGTGAAGCACCTTGTCTTTACTCTTTTGTTTGTTCTATTTAACAAATTATGATTTTTAAAAAAGGCAACTGTGTAATTTAATTGTTTAATGAACTGAATACCATCCAACTGAAATGCTATTTTCAATTAATCAGGCAACCCATTCGTCTTTTTTTTAAAAAAAGATTTTTTTATAAAAAAGATAAACATTACTGCAGAAAGAAAATGTTCTTTTTAGAAGTTGCATCACTTCTATTTTACAGAGTTGAGAAATTTTCTTTTCTGAGATGCTGCCTGCTACAAAGTAAATGTTAAAAACGTGTTTTTAGAACTACTATATTATCCATATGCTAATTTATAAGCATTTTTCCACTCATAAATTGATAAGACAATGGTAATGTTATTTGGAATCCTCAGTGACTCTTCTTCCCACAACAGAGTCACTAAAATGATCAAATTAATCTATCAGTGGTTCTACAACACACAAACATACTAATGCAGTTTAAAAAGGCGTACTACTTTGAGATTATAGAGCCCTATATACTTTCTCTAGGACTTTGATTTCCCATGAGTCTTTGTGTTACCAAATTATTGGCAAAAAAAAAATCACACTATCATCAGCTTTTTCTCTGCTGGCTAGAAAAGCAACTACTGCAGCCAATCACCATTTGAGAGATATATTCAGTGGTGTCAATCCCTGACAGCAAGTATGTGTCAATCTCCCAACTGCAGTATATAACCCATAAAAATAGATTTTCATAGTCTTATTAGTCAGGTCAATGACAAGAGAAAGATTAGATTATTGAATTTATATTTTAGTTCTCATTAGTCAGTGAGCAAGATAAGGCAGGACTTCCTTTATGACCTTGATCCTCTTTCTAATTCTTTCTTGACTTGGAGAAGATTGTTTCCCACTTATAAGATATAAAAAATAATGTTAATCTCTTCTGGTTGTGCCAGATTTCAAAACCATCTATTCTTAGATTCAGAATTCCATTACAGATCCATCACAGGCTGGATTTTTCAAATTCTCATCTCTAACAAATTTAGAATTAAAATTATAATTTGGAAAATAGTTCAATCTATTTTCCAAAGCACCAGAAGGCAAGACAAGAAACAATGGATGGAAAGTCATCAAGGTCAGAATTAGAACTAAGGACAAATTTCCTAACAATGAGAACAATTAATCAGCAGAACAGCTTGTCTTCAGAAGTCGTGGGTGCTCTATGTAATTTTTTATTATTTAATAAATTAGTTTAAGTAATAAATTGTAGTTGGAGACTTGGCAAGTACTCACTATCAAATATTTGAGAGCCAATTTGGTGTAGTGGTTAAGGCACTAAACTAGAAACTGGAAGACCATGAGTTCTAATCATACCTTTGGTTTGAAGTCAACTGAGTGACTTTGGGCCAGTCACTCTCTTGTCAGCTCAAGGAATAAGGTAATGGCAAACCACTTCCAAAAATCTTGCCAGGAAAACTGCAGGGAATACTCCAGGCAGCCATTGAAAGTTAACACTGACTTGAAGACTTATACACATGTGTATGCACACACACACATGCACACACACACAGACACACACACACAAATATTTAAACAATTGCAAGTTATATAGTTAGTCTGCTGCTTGGCTTTCTTCAATCTGGTACCTATTATATTTTTGGGACTGCCAACTTATTTGCTGTTCATAGAATGATTTTAATTGATCTCATTGTCATCACAACCAATCATAAGCCAATCAGAGGACCTTCCATCTACTTTACATGCAGCAAGCTGCAACCTCAATCTCTTCAAATAATGCAAGAAAGATTCCTATCTTAAATTTGGGAAAATATTTTCCACTCAGTGCAAGTAACTGAATGAATTACAGCTTCTGATGTTCCTGCATTTGTATTCTTGCCAAATCTGATAACAGAAAGTTCCACACATTTGTCAAAAATAAAGGATGGGTGGTTGTATGTGTGTGTATTGCTGTATGTGTTATACCACAAATATATTGAAAAACAACAAAACATTTACTGGTTATATGGAAGATCTACAATTTGAAGCTGAAGAAAAACATGTTCATGTGGATGTACCTCATAGTAATCTAGGGCCTACATGTACTCTAATTAATTCTTCTCTCTGATTGTCTTTAAGGTCGCCGAGTTATCCTCCACCAGGCTGTGGAAAAAACAAATCAAAATTGAAACCTGAACAAGATGGTATCTCAAAAACCCACAAGTTATTGAGGAGGACTTGTTCTAGCACAGTTAAAGCTGAGGAATCATGTGTGGCAAAATCTCACAGAACCTTTGGTCGCTCGCTGTCCAGCGATCCTAGGGCTGAACATGCAATGACCATTAAGTCACACAAACTGTTGAACCACTCTTGCTCTGCAACCATTAAGCAGGATGAAGGCATCACGTTAAAGTCCCACAAACTGCTGAATAGACCATGCTCTGGGGATATGCGATGTGAGCACAACAGTACTTTGAAGCCCCACAAACTTTTAAGCAGGTCTTATTCCAGTAATCTTAGGATGGATGAATTGGATGGGTTGAAGAACCACAAGTTACTCAGCAAGAGTTATTCCAGTGCCCCCAAATCATCTAAAATGGAACTTTTCAAAGAACCCACAATAACAGAGGGCAGGAGACTCTCTCTTACCTCAGGGCTTATTGGTATCTTAACACCATCCACATCTTCGCCATCGCCATCCTCTGTGCGTAAACTGTTTTCTTCTGTGAGCTTTTTTCCTTCCCACATACTTTTAGAATGGTTAAATGCACAGGCATCTTAGGAAGCCAGAGTACCTTCGTTTATAAATTTGGAACCACATTAAAAAAAAAGTTGAAACTTTAGGAAAAAAAAATCCTTCTACATATCCAGACTTGATAAACATTTGAAGCCTTAAGCATCGCTGTACAATTCAGTATGATGGCCCAGTTACCTTTGTCAATGAATGACCTGAGATTTTATGGGAGAGGCTGGTTTATGAGTTTTGTGCACATTTTATATTAATTTCATTTGAAATTATTTGATTATTTTCAGGATTGGCAGGTAACTTGATCTGAATTACCAGTTCTTGATCTATACTGCTAAACCTTGCTGAATTAAACTATAATTCATAGCAAATATTGGCTAAGAAGCAAATATTAAAGGGTTTAGAGGAGGAAAAATGAAAGGATATGCTACTATACAAGTCAGACATTTACTGCTTTACTGTGTATCAATTCTGAATGGATGGATTTTTTTCAGCAAGTTGTGTTCGTATGCTGTGGGTGGGTGCATATGTCTGTACCTAATGTCTGTAAGTTATGAGTGTCATACACTAATGCATGCATCCACAAGATTTTTGGCATTTTCTCATTAGAGCAATATTTAATGGAGTTATTATAACCAATCTTCCTTCAGACATTACATTGTTTTGTACACAATGTACTCTAGGAAGTAGCTCTCACAGATATACTACATAATGCCACAAGGTATAATGGGAAATTCTTAGTACTAAGAATAGAATGGTCAGAAATGATTACTGAATAACCTGTATCATGTCTTACACTAAACAATCCAATTTCAATTTCTCATGCTATGAACTATTACGTCTTTGTGGCAGTTAGTGTGTACAGGATATAATATGTGAATGGAAACATATATAAACGTCGGTGACATTAACATACATAGAGAAATATAATCCCTACCTGTAACAATTGAGAAAAAGATGGCCTGCGGTTTCCAGCACTCCCAGACAGCATAACCTTGGTCATATTGACTGGGATTCATAGTCCCAGTGCTTCTGGAGCAATGTTTCTCAACCATGGCAACTTTAAGACATCTGGACTTCAACTCCCAGGATTCTGGGAGCTGAAATCAAGACCTCTTAAAGTTGCTAAGGTTGAGAAATGCTGTTCCAGAGGAGAGAAAGTGACTTAGCCTTGGAGGGAACTTCAGTAGTGTGCAATTCAATTATGATGGAAGGATCTCTGTAGAGGTACACTATTGCTGGGTGATCCCTACTAGAATTACTACTAAGATGCTGATGTACAGTGAATAGTTGTCTTTGCATCCCTACTAAAATCTTTGCATTTTCTAACCAGCTGTGGCCCAAGAATATATATGTATTATTATTCCATAAAGCCAGAATAGTAATGTAAGGGCAAGCTTGAGATAGTTCATTAGTTTGAAGAGCTGAAATAAGAGAATACCACAAGAACCTTAAACAAAATGTTCCACTTCTTAACAGAAATGTTCTTATTTCATAATGTTTTTCATAAACTATTTTGTGGTTCCCCACCCCACTCCCAAGTGATTTTATAGACCATGTTCAGGTTATTGAGATACACGTCCTGATATTTCATCATTTCTGCATTTGGTTTTCTCTGAACATGTTGATATTTCCCTCTTGTTTCTCAGTTCTGGCTACATATCTGTCGACACTACCTAACCGAGTTATTGTAGGGAGCAATGATGCATATTGATAGTATTTTTTAAAAGATTTATATAGTATGTATTTATTTATATTTATAAATCCAAGTGATTATTTTTCTTACATGACATAATGTTTTTCAGCAAAACCTCCACTTTCAAGGACAAACAGTTAAGGAAGACACACAAAAATATATAGTCTTCTTTCTCTTCCACCTCCTGCTTCTTTTTTGTATGAGACCTCTACTGCTCACAGCTCACACAGAGCTATGCAAACTCCAGAACTTTGATTTTCAGAATTAATCCACAGATCAAAGCTAAGGGTGCTTCTGTGCTTTGGGAGCAGAGAAACAAGCTTCATAAGTTTCCTAGTCTAATTGAGCTCATTTGATAAAGTCTCATTGAGGAGTCCTTGGAAATCTGTTCCAGACAGATAAATGAATATAACTTGTGCAAGATTTTGAACTTCCTTGCACACTAGGGCTGACTTTGGTTTCAGGCTTTTTGGATCTGGGCTCACCTCTGCTGAAGAAATAAGCTTCTTTAGGCCAAGGTGACACTTTGTTAAGGATACACGCCCCAAAGTAAGCAAACCTTAAACAAAATCAAATTGTGCTTTAACTTCCTAAGTTAATTGAATTACATGCAGTTAATAGGATTACTTTTCACATATTTAACTTTATACCCCTTCCATCATGTTAAAATTAGAAATAAAGGAATTTTTTTTTTTTTTTTTGGAGCCATAGACCATGACATTTCAGGTTGTGTTCTTCCAGTATAAAAAGAGGAAGGAGGAAGGAAGGAAGGAAGGAAGGAAGGAAGGAAGGAAGGAAGGAAGGAAGGAAGGAAGGAAGGAACTTATTACATATTAGAACACTAATTCTTGTCACCAAATATGGTCTGGATTGGAGAAACAAACTCCAAACTCTCAATAATTAACAGTGATGGTAATGGAATGGGATCTTATGTATTCAAAGCATGTGCTATACATCCAGCAGTTCACAGCACGTACTAGTAGGTATTAGTATAGGACTATACACACACACACACACACACACACACCATTTTATATATATCAACAGCAGGTGTTAGTATAGGACTATATATGTGTGTGTGTGTGTGTGTGTGTGTATGTAGGTCTTTGGTTGTTCGGGTTTTCTCCCACGTAAAATTGGAAGTGTCTTGGTGACGTTTCGACGAAGTCCCATTCGTCATCTTCAGGCTGGTGTTTTCAGCTTCGTGCTTCGAGCAGCTGCTCGAGGCACGAAGCTGAAAGCACCAGCCTGAAGAGGACGAATGGGACTTCGTCGAAACGTCGCCAAGACACTTCCAATTTTACGTGGGAGAAAACCCGAACAACCAAAGACCTACATACAAACACCCGCGAAAACCTCAGAAAACAAATATATATGCTATATATATCAATATGAAACCAGGCAACAGAAATGCCAGCCTAACCAGTATTGGTCTTAAGTTTCTCTTGAGGTTTTATAATTTATGAATATTGAAGTAGCATTTTGAAAACGACAGATTGTTTTCACTTTTTTTGCCCCTAGCAAATGAATTATTTTCAACTTTTCCCCCTAGTGCATTGATAAATGAATGCACTGGGCACAGAACTACTTAGAAAGATCCAACTAAATTCCAGCAAAATAGCAAATAGTTCTGAATGCCCTCTGGGAACGGAATACTATTTAGTTTGCATGGGTATATTATAAGTAATATTATATCAAGGCTTATACATATTCAAACTTACAGCCTGATGTTACTTTTTCTTTGTTTTTAAACAGCCAAATTATGGTGCAAAATCTGTTCCTATAAGAGACCATGGCTTTCTTGTGCAGGTAGGTGAGAATGCCTGATGAGTTTTACAAACTTGGAGGAGGCTGAGCTGCTTATTAATTATTTTAAGCAGATTGTATTATTCTCTTTTCTGTTGTTCTCAGACAATTGAGTTTGCTGAGCAGAGGATACCTGTACTAAATGAATATTGTGTAGTTTGTGATGAACCACATGTATTCCAGAACGGACCCATGCTCAGGGTAAGCTCAATAAACTATGTAATATGGTTTGATATGGGTGCATGTGCTCCTTTAAGAAATTTGCAGGGAGGGATAGAGTAGAATTATAATTCACATCTGCCACAATTTAAATATTGATTTATCAAGCTTGTCATGTCTTCATTTGGATTCTGTGATTCTTAATTTGAGGCAAAGGAGACAGTGCATATTTAAAACTGAAATAAAATTATGGTTTGAACAGATAAGATCATATCTTTTGTACCAGTGTAATATTATATATAGGAGCATAGGACAGTGAAGTAAGCAGGTACACATGCCCCTATGTGTCAGCTATAGTCTTTTTATTGTGGATTTGATGGATTAAGCCTGGAACTTTTATGTGTGAGAGTAACGGTCACTTCCAGTTCTCAACTAGTTGGTTCATTCTATTGCGGTAGTAATTTATTATAAGTTAAGAAAATAGGTAGATAGTTTAGCAACTTTGCAGATCTGTGTGTGTGGGAAAAGAGAGAATTAAGCAGGTTCTATTTGGTTAATACTTGGATTGAAGACCCAATGGGCAGCTCACATCATTCCCAGGATCTTCTCATAGTAGTGCTAATAGGAGAGCCTATGCATATTGGGGGCTGTTTTGTGTGATGGACAGTTTGGCATCTGTCTCAGTCCATCCTTCAAGGTGACTGCTTCACTGAATCTCAGTATGTGGCCCATCTTCCTGAAACATAGTTTCATGCACATACACCATAGGTAGACACTGGATCAGCCTTGATAAATGCTGCAAAGTTCCCCCTTCTCAAATTGTATCTTTAGTACATGTTATGAAGAAGAAGAACAATGCATTTCTATGTGCATTGAGAAAAAAACTGAGAGGACAAAAAGTCCTGCCCATTGGTTCACGTCCTTGAAGAATATTAAGTGATGAGAAGGAAAAATAATGATGGACAGGGTTAGCTACATTATGTCAGAATTCTCACATGTACTCAGTGAATGCATTATGAATGAATGTCTCAAAATCTTATATTAATACCATAACATTTCAGCACTAATGCTTTGTTGAAAATGTATTCTGCAATTTTCTTCCTTCACTTAAATAGGGGAAAATGCTTTCAAGTTTTCTTCCAGATGAAAAGAAAGATTTGGTGAAGTCATAAGGCATCATAAGGTCTTCTAAAATATCCTGCCACAAATCTGACTTCTATTCCAAAGAAAAGCCATCTAGACTTAAAACAGTTGGGTTGTCAACTTTCTCTTGCCATTTTCCATCTCTGTTCAAGCATACCTTTCTGAGCTATAGTCATTTCATTTCTGCCCATTGGGAATAGTTTTTTGAGTGAAGCTTGAGGGATACCAGAGCCTCATTTCAGCTTCTTAGCACATCACAGAAAGAGTGAGCTAGCTTTTGCCTTCTCTTAGGATAAACAACTTCAAAAGAATCCCAGAATAACAATGAAGGCGATTAGGAATGGAAGCATTGAGAGTTTACAGCTGGACCTAAGCAATGAAACAAACAAACAAAGAAGGATTATTGGGGGGAATGGTGTTCTTATCCCCACTGCTTACAATAAATTTGAATTTGGACAAGCCCAGTGGCCTATCCTTTGACCTTTAAAAGGATATTTTGTGGGAGGATTTAGTTACTCTTCCATTCCCTCATCACCCTTCAAATTAATGGAAAGAATAGGACAGTTTTCTGTAATGCGTGGTGTATTGGCATCCAGCATTGAGCAGGAAGCTGGACTTGATCCCTTGCATAATTTCATTGAAGCATAGGGTTGCAAGATTCTCCTCCCTATTCTGCACAAAATAAAATAACCCTTAAAGGAGAATATCTGTAACTCAGGGTTGAAATCAGGATTCAAATTCTCTTATGTTTGTAGGATTATTTTACGAGGGGTCCTTGGTGCTCTCTAAGTTTATTTTCTTGCAGATGTTTCATTACCAAAACTAGGTAACATCATCAGTGCAATGATGATGTTGTCTAATTTGGGGGCAATGAAATGTCTGCAAGAAAACTACCAAGCTCAGAGTGTACCAAGGATCCCTCGTAAAATAATCCTACAAACATAAGAGAATTTGAAGATTAGACCTTAACTGTAAATACGTGACTACTTGTAATAGATCTATACTCAATAAAAATGAATCCCTTTATTTTTTTCCACTCTCCTTATGGATTAAATGAATGCATACCCTTAATTCCCATCTGCTGAATTGCTGTATCCCAAAGAGGAGCTTGGCAAGATTTGGCATCTGGATGCTTGTGGGACCAACCATATCAATGATGATGATGATGATGATGATGATGATGATGATGATGATAATAGATATATGATTTGATGATCAAGTACCTAGAAATAACAGGAGTCAGTAGAAACATCAACAGTTTTGTGCAAAGATCAATTGCACAATGGAAGATGGTGTTCCTGATGAATGGTGATAGATTAGGAGAGGTTAATATCAAGAAAGGAATCTTTCAGGGAGACTCATTATCACCACTACTGTTTATTATTTCACTAATTCTTTTGTCAACAATACTGAACAAGTCAGGCCATGACTATCAAACATCAAAAACATCTGCCAGGCAATCCTACTTCCTTTATATGGGTGTTCTGAAGTTATTTGAGAAATAGAATTGCTGGTCAACACCATCCATAAATGCAGCCAAGATATTGCAATGGAATTTGGACTGGACAAATGTGCCACCCTTATTAACAGGGGAAAAATAGTGAAAACTGAAGGAAACAAAATGCCCTAAGGAAATAATAATATTAAGAGTTTGGATGAAAAAGATCTCTACAAATCCCTAGGCATTTTTCAAGCTGACATCAAGCCCACTGAAGTCAAGAAAGAAGTTAAAAGCGAATGTATTCTGAGAGTAAAGAAGATCTAAAAGTCCAAATTCAGTGGAGGCTACGCCATCAAGGCAATTAATACTCGAGCAATTCCAGTCATTAGATACACAACTAGAGTAGTAGACTAGGCTCAAGGACAAAAAAAAGCTGTGGATAGGAAGACTAGAGAAATAATTATAATGAATCTTGCCTTTCATTGATGAACAAATGTTGACAGACTTCTTACCAAAGAACACAGGTCATTGTGGAATTTTGCAAGTACACCAGACAATTGAAGAAAAGAAAAGGTCATTGGAAGAGTATCTGAAGGAATGGAATAATTGTACAGTACTACTATTGAAACTAGTATATCTTTAAAACCAGATACAACAAACATCTGTCTATTCCAAGTCCTTGGGAAAGACTTGAGAGCTACATAAAAATGTCAAATCCAGTCTAAACATCTGACTCACCATGCAACGAATCATAATAATATTCAGATTGTACAAGTAGATCATATAGACTAATTATAAACAATGATATAAGACAGCTGCCCAAATGATTTGCTGGAACATCTGTAAAATTATCAAGTGCCAGCAATGAAAAAAAATGGTGGGAACATAATAGAGATTGGTCTAGTTTAGCATTAAACTTTCTAAGTAAAATAATTATAATTTGGGTATGCAAAGTAATTATTTCTAAACATACCTAATAATCAGAATTATAATAAAATGATGTATTTAGTAAAATATAAACTTTTACCAGTGCAAGTTCAAAATCTTTGAATTTCATGTTCATGTTTTATGATAATCAAACTGGAATTTCTGTTGTAATCATTATGATCGTAAATTGAGTTGGATCTGATTTTATGACACTTTTTATGGTGGTTGTTCCAAGAGAATCAAAACAGTCATTAAGTAAATCGAGCTTTCCCAGTAGACATTTTTTTTTTTTTTGCCTTTTTTGCTGGAAAGAGTCACAAATCGTGATCACAAGATGCAGCAACTGGTTGTAAATGCAAGCCAATTTCTAAGTGCCTGAATTGCAGTCTCATAACTATGGGAATGGAGCAACAATCATAAGTGCAAGTACAGGTCATAAGTAATTTTTTCTGTTATAACTTTGAACCATTGTTAAACTAATAGTCATGTCAGGGACTGCTAGTATGAGATAGATTATCCCCAATATATAATTTCTCACCTTGCCATTGCAGTTCTTCCTTAGTAAGAATGCATAAACCCATAAACTCACTCTTTATTCTTTAACTTTGGGGTAGAGATATACCATTATTGAAAACTGGAGAATTGTACTAAGCCAGGCTTTTTGTAAAGCTATTGTCTCAAATTCACCAAATAACTTTCAGTAGAATCTTTCTAGCCAGCTACTTTTTAAATTCAGTTTGTATAGGTCTGTCTGATATAAAGTGTTCTAGATGGGATGGTTAAGTAGAAGATGAAGGATAGAATAGAATAGAATAGAATAGAATAGAATAGAATAGAATAGAATAGAATAGAATAGAATAGAATAGAATAGAATAGAATAGCCGAGTTGGAAGGGACCTCGGAGATCTTCTACTCCAGCGGTTCTCAACCTATGGGTCGCGACCCCATTTGGGATCAATCGACCATTTCACAGGGGTCGCCAAGCAAGGCTGTCTGCCATTTTTTTCCCCTTTTCCGGCGGGTGCCAGCTGGTGGCCCAGCCAGTGATCGGCCTGCTCTGTCTCTGCCACTTGCCAGCTACGCCTCGGCCGGTGCAGGGGGCGGCACCATGCATGCGCAGTGCTCCCGGGCAGGGAAAGTTCTCAACTTACGACTGGTAGGGTAGTCCTCAACGTATGACCAGTTTAGTCCTCGACTTACGACTGGTTGGGGGTCACGGCATTAAGAAGGTTGAGAACCACTGTTCTAGTCTAATCTCCTGCTCAGGCAGAAAACCCTATACCATTTTAGACTAATGATTGATTGTACAATCTCTTTTTAAAAACTTCCAGTGGTGGACCATTCACAACTTCTGGACGCAAATTGTTCCACTGATTAATTGTTCTGTCAGGAAATTTCTTCTTAGTTCTAGGTTGCTTCTCTCCTTGTTTAATTTAGACAGTTTAGACAGTATTTTTCAAATTGGATCCACATTACCAATGCTTCCAATATAGACAGCTATTATAAAATTCATCTTTCCTCTGTTTAAATA